TCGTGCGGTCTCTTTTGATGGAACAAATTCAAAGTAATGGGGTTTCGTCAACAACTGCAAGTAGCAGTGGAGTAATGCTTTCAAGTGTGACGACTATAGTTATTAATCAACACAGGGCTATCCAATATAACGCAATAAGCAGTACGACTGATAACGAAGTGGAAGACGACGATTGGACGACAATCAGCATCGATAGTTTGGAATGTGATTAAAGAAATGGTTTCCGGTCCTAGCATAAGTCACAACAAATTTTCGTATAAATAATGTAATTTGTAATTTAGTATGTACATATGTATTAATAAAAAATTGGAAAATCTCAGCTTTTAGGAATTTAATTTCGCTACGTGTAGAAACAATACCTAATTTAAAACTTTTCATTTTTTTTGTTCCTCTGAAGAAACTTATCTTCTTCTAAATACATGGAAAAGTCTTTCTTTACAGCTCCGACGACTTTAATTAAGTCTTAAAGATTAAACATAGATTTCGTATACATTACCGATTTACGAGAGGACTTATTTACTCTAACCCCATAATTATTCAGCATAAGTATGTCTTGTTACCATCAATGTAACGGACTAATTTTAAATTTTACCAGATAAGTTAGAAACCCTTTACACTTTCATAGAATTTCCTTACAGAGATATTCTAATGTTACTAATAAATCTCGTATATTTTGAAATATGTCGTTGAATTTTGCTATATGGGTATTTTCAAACTGGCGTTACGTGACACTCGTATAACAAAATGTTAAAACAAAAAAAGAATTGAAAACGTCAAAATTTTAGAAAGGGGTTTCTGGAATTGCACAGCAATTAAATGGCCCCTTATTCAGTAAAAAAATACAACTGAACAGAAGTGGATTTTGACTTCGATGACAAAATTACAAAACTGCGAATTGGGCCAGACTATTTGTATGAAAGCTTTTGTAGCAATATTGGAAATATTTAGGGTTAATTTTCCAAGTTTTAAAATGTAAAAATCTAGTCTAGCTTTATGCTTAATCAGCTGAATTATCTGACGTGACGTTACTTGGCTTTACGTTACTAAAATTTCCATTGAAAAGGTTTTTATTAACATTGATCTTGAAAGAATTTTTAACGGTAAGAAAATGTCCGTACGTACTTTTTATTTTGACATCAGCGCCACCAGCGGCTCCATTTTTAAGTGTCAACTAAATACGCCAAATATGAAAGAAATCAGAGCATAAATACGATTTTTCAAAATATCTCGATACTGGCGCCACCTAACGAGACCATTCTTGGCGAACATTTTTCTGCATACATAACCAATATACATATATTATAAAAAGCAGCCAAATCGGCCTATAAATAAGTAAGATATGGGACTTTTAATTTTTTTTTTTACGCGGTAGACTTTTCGCTGGAAACACTCATTTACCGTCGGCACCCACGTCACTGTTGACAGTTACAAGTCTATGTGGCATGCTTTGTGCATTTTCATACAATTCATCTTAGCTGTCAAAGCGAATCTGTCACGTAAAGCGAAGCACACGTTTTATGTGGCATCAGCTTAAGGCCAGTATGCAGCTCTCAAGACAACGGTCAAGAAAAAAAAGGCATTATTTCGTGTGTTCAAGGAATTTTGACATCTGATACTTCACAGCCTGTTGTCTCGTTCTTTCCTCAAGAAATAATGGAACGGGCATATATTTATGTTGCAAACCTGGGTTGCCTTGTGCTATTTTTTCACAAAAAAACTTTAGAAAACCGTACTAGAAAGCTTAGCAAATTCCTTAAGAACTGCGTACTGCCTTAAGGAAATTTGACTCAAGAAAATTTCTTAGCAATTTCTTGTAGGTCATTTTATATGGAGATTTTGCTTTTCTTGCGAGCTGCATACTAAGCTTTAGGTTGAAAGACTTAGGAGTGTTTGCGCGTTGGCGATGGCGAATACCGTAAACGATTTACAACCAAATCCTGAAAATCTGACAGTTAAAGGAGCAGACTAATTAGCCAATGAACAATTAATTTTTGACGCAGATGTTTCGTTCACTAGGCAATTTAAAATCGTTAGATAGTAAAATGCCAACTAGAAAAAATTGTATGGGCGTTTCTGAGTGGGCCTGTTAGAGTTTGACTACCACGCATCGGTAATAAATACTGTTTGGGCATTATTCGATGATTAGGAGCGTAAACATCGAATTTTCTCGGATGGTTATCTTTGGTAGTTCCCAGAATAATGAGTAAATGCACTTATGTAAATAAAACATACGTTTATATTTGTACCATGTATGTATGTATCTATGTAGCATTGATTCGTTGGAATGGGCAAACAACTTATATTGAGTGTTAAGAATTGTACGCTTCAATCGATATCGATAACTAAAGTGCACACTTACAAACAAAACCTAGTACTTCACGATAACGGAATTTGGTTAAACCACCTGTTGCTTTTAAGTATGTGTGGATATTTGTCATATCGTACTAAACACATTAGGGGTATTCTCGAAGTCTTGCACGATGCACGGATTGCACGAAATGCAAAAATACTATTCCAAATTTCGAAGAGTACGAGAACACCCCATTGCAAAGAGGTAGCATGCATGGGGAGCAAGCAGCGAAATTATGTATCAAATACAATAACAAGAGACAGCAAAAAAAAATTAAGTGAGCGAGATGAGAGGAATGAGAGAAATACATATGTAGCAATTCCAACAACAAAACAACTAGCACAGGGTCGCTATTATCTTGCTATGCTATTTTGCAAAATATATACATGGGTTTCGACGTTGCATATTTTGCAGCGATAGGAAATGTTGTTTCCCATGAATTTTCTTGTTGTGTGTTTGCAATTTATGCAATCCGTGCAATCCGTGCTACGTGCAATGGCTTTGCAAGATTTGGAGAATACCCCTATTAGTTAACCCATATACTGGCAAGTGGTATCATAAGCAAAAGTAAAATAAACGTTCCCCTCTGCTAGTTGAATCCAATGCGCTGTTTTAAAAAAGCCAGGAAAAGTTTATATTTCCATACCGCTTAATACGGGAACCCGTCTAAGCGTAGGCAATTATGTGCGTCATTAATGCATGGGCATGCATATGGGTATATAATGAAATACGAAATACGGAATCCCGAAAGTCATAATCCAGACACGACCAAATCCCGACCAGACATAATCCAGACATGACCAAATCCTGACCATAATCCGGACAAGACACAATCCCGACCATACATAATCCCGACAAGACACAATCCAGAAAAGAAATCCCGACAAAATATAAAAGTAATTAAAAAATCGCGCGATCTCCACATGCTGGACACTCATTTTGGATGTTGGGAGGCGAGTTGGGCCAGAGTCACGCGGGTATCTCGTGGCAGTTGAAGCTCACTCTCGTTCACAGGTGGTAATTGGCACTGATGACGGCATTCACTCGACTGGAGTTTGTAAATGCCGTTAATAGCCTCTCTGTACAGTCCCAGTCCCAGGGGTGCTGTGCGTAGTGCTGGACCTGGGCTCGAATCGTCACATACGAGATCGTATTACTCGTCACGTAAAAACACAGTTTTCGGATTATGACATACGTGAACGTACTTTTTACCCCATTTAGCTTATACGACTGACGGTATCACGTAATTTTCTTTCGTATGGTTTTCGACCCGTGAACGGATGTTACGATTCGAGCCCTGGTCCTTCAGCTCAAGCAAATTCGAGTGCTGACATCTGTAGCACCCTACTAGGAACTGCTTGCCGAGGATGATGTTGTCCCCTTACTGGGAGAATTTCGGCTTCACTGTGTGATGTGATGTTCTGGCGACATCAGAAGGCATCCCCGGTTCTCCGGGGTGTTATATTGTAGCATGTCTGTAGTTTCGTCCACTGCGAACCAATTGTCCCGGCGAGCATACAAGCGCTGCAGAATTTAGAACCGGGCGGCCAAATGCCTTGTATGTTTGCAACACCGTTTCTGTGTCTTTGGCCAAGTACTGCCGAATTGGGGAATTGAGGACTTTGCTATGGCTCTGTACTTTGTTGGCAATTTCGGTTGTATGCGCCGGGAACGAGTGCTAGATCCGTTAATTTTCAAGTTATTCACCGTCGGAATTGGTTTGCCATCGACGAGAATACGCAGCTTTCGTCCTTGTGGTAAAATGGTTGCCGAGGATTTTGTAGGGAGGAGGGTTAGGCTCCTTGCAGTAAAGGAGCGATAAAATGTGGAGTGCTAAGCGTTTATATTTAAGCATAAGTCATCAAAATCATTGCCGGACGTATTGTAATTTTTTTTTTGTCTGGATTGTGTCTTGTCGGGATTTTGAGTTGTCGGGATTATGTCTTGTCTGAATAATGTGTTATCTCTATTTTATTCTGTCTGGATTTTGTTATGTCTGTATTATGTCCTGTCTAGACTTTTAAAAATTGTCTGGATTATGTCTTGTCGGGATCTTTAAAGTCGGGATTATGGAGTGCTCCCCACATTTTTATTAAAATTTCTCTAAGAAAGTATTTTGAACTACTATTAAGGATTTAAATATTACATGAGACGTCAATGAATTTTTACTTTGGAGAGGATATTACCTCACGGAGTGTAATTGTTTTGTACATACCCTAAGCCCTAACCGCCAAAATACCGTCAGCGACATATTTTTCAAAATTTTCTTTTTAATGCATGATGATGCAATGATGGTCTAGGAATATTTCTGCATCAAAATGAAAATTTTGAAAAAATGTCGCTTACGTTATTTTGGCGGTATGGGCTCAATATTATGTATGCATTTCCAAAGCAAGCCATAATAGAAGCTGACAGATTGAAGCTCAACTAATTCTTCATAATCTTTTCAATATTTTTTGTATGCATTTTACTGCGTTCCTGGGTTAAAAAAATAAAACGATAGAAATTCACTCATGATAACAGTTAGTTTTATCTATTATTCATACAATTGAGAGGTTAAACTCAATATTAGATCAATGATGTATTAATAGTTTGCGATAACTAGTTAGTTATTTGCCATATTTTTCGCCGTAGATATAATCAAAAATTTTATGGGATTCATCCACTAGTTGCGTTTTGTGATTGATTGGTAACGAAATACGGTTCTCTTTTGAAACCCGAATGTGACACATAAAATAACTTCGGCCATTATTATTTATTATTCTTATCGTATTATCGAACAACAAAAGAACTAGGAAATTTAATAATTTCAGCTGTCTAACTAAAATTGCGTATTACAGCTGACCTTGACAATAATCAAAGTAATTATAACCGGACTTTGGCGCCGCAGTAAATCTTTAAATCCAAGTGTACAAGATGTGCAAGGCTTTGTGGGAGTGTATCAAATGTCCAGCAAAGGTTGTGTGTTGGTAAGTTGTTGTTAACGTGTTTTGAAGAAAACTAAGAAGTTCTTATTAAAGATATATCTAATAAAATCTACATATGTATGTATTAGCTCACCCAATCTATATAATATATTCTACTGTATATAATATATTCTAATATATATTCATGTGTATATATATTTTACATATCATGTATCACATTAATTTTATAAAAGCAATTTTTTGTATGTAGATCTGTTTTGGATTATAACATACGTGAACGTACTCCTTATCTCGTTCAGTTTATACGACTGACGAATCACGTAATTTTCTTTCGTATGGTTTTCGATCCATGAACGGATGTTACGATTCGAGCCCAGGTTTTACTATTCTTTTATGAAACCTTTGAGTATTCCTTCTCCCGGCGGGTGTTTCATCCCTTTAGGCGGCAGAAACCTCTCGCAGAAATACCTCGTTCTATACAAAAATAGTAGTGTGAGGATCGTCTCCTAGCTGCCAATATGCAAAGACTCTTTGTGTGTCGCGAGGAAGTAAGTACTTAGTCTTGACCTCGCTCACCGCTAAACTAACCTCTTTTGAGTTTTTTAAAAGCTCCATCCCTCTCAGTTCTTCGTTAAAGCCTTTGAACCGCTCAGCAGGCATTACATATGTATATCGGTTCCACCGAGCTTTGTTGGTTTTAAGTTGCATTACTGAAGATCTTACCTCGTTTTGGCTGAGTGGAATGATGTAACGATCGCCGCTATACAACGTTCTGGGTTATTGTTTATCGCAAGTGTAGTGTGCGCATCTGTTACTAGATTTCAATCTGCGTCAATGCATCAATCAGCACCATTTTGAAACCATTCGATTGCTGCCTTATTCGTGAGCGACTTTTCGGCCCCGTTTTCGCTGCCACAACTTTTTAAGATGGTTTTTAATTGTTTTTTTTTTTTTTTTATAACATGCTAAACATTAGTACATTATAGAATTTTAAATTAAAATTAAAATTATAATTAATAAAAATAGAAGAGCTAATCATATGTATTTAATAAATTTTTTTTCTCACCCTTTTTACAGCTGTTTTTCATGCGCGTTGAATGTGCTTTTTGGCATACTTTGTTCCGTTGTTGGATTAGTTATCATTATTGGACTGATTGTATACTTCATGGTGTTTTACAACAACGATAGTCCCAGTAGCAGTGAACAAAAATTGATGCAGGAAGTCATCACCGCAGCGCCGTTAACGTTTCGCGGTTATTTCAAGCAACAACAATGACAAATTTGAATTTTAGTAAATGCTTTTTGTTAAAATAACTATTTTATATTTCTAATAACTATGATATATGTAGTTTTTTTTAATTTTAGTAATAAATGAAACCGCTTACGATATAAATAATAATAATATCCCAACGGTTTTTACCCTCCATTCCCGCCCATCCGCACGAGGGGCGCAGTCCGCATGACGTACGGAACCAATATTTTAAATTTTTGTGCCGAGTCACGATAGGCAGGAGTTTGTTAAGTGTCGAGATCTAAAACTGTTCAGCTACAGAACTAAATTCATCAGCTGATTTTATGTATTTATGTCCATAATTCACTTATTGAGAGAGGAGAGTATCGCTTTCTTAATGCTGAAAAGCGGATCTGATATATCAAACGTGCTGGAATGAGAGTTAAAATCCTGGCATAAGCAACGGAGTGGGTCGTGCAATTCAAAATTGGTTTTACAAGCTTTCAGAAATATGGGACAAAAGTGTCTTGATACGCGTGAGGGAACATTAAAGCTAACATCAGCCAGAAGAGACGGACTTGAAATTGAGCCTGTCAGTAATTTAACCATAAAAATTATACCAAGCATTTCCCTGCGACTGGCAAGTGTTGGAAGGTTAATAAGTTTTAAGCGACTCGTATAAGATGGAAGACTATATTGAGAATCCCATCGGAAATTTCTTAAAGCAAAAAGTAGGAATTGTTTTTGAATTGATTCTATCTTGTCTGAGTAAATTTGATACCTTGGATTCCAAACCACCGAGCCGTATTCCAGAATCGGCCTAACTAATGTTGTAAACAGGGTTTTAGTGATATACGGGTCACTAAATTCTTTTGACCATCGTTTCACAAATGCAAGTACACCTTTAGCCTTGTTGACTGTCACATTAATGTGAAGATTAAAATTAAGCTTAGGATCCATTGTGATACCAAGGTCCACAAAATTGTATACCTGTTCCAGGTTATGGTTACCTATTATATAAGAAACTGGCAGAACAGCTCTTCGCGAGAAGCACATTACTTTACATTTCTTAAGATTTAGAGGCATAAGATTTACTTTACACCAGTAAGCTATTTAAGTCTGATTGTAGCAAAGACCTTTCTTCAATTGAAACGTACGATTTATAAAGTTTTACATCATCTGCATACATTAAAATTTTGGAGAATTTTATATCTGTAGAAATATCGTTTATAAAAAGCAGGAACAGAATCGGGCCTAGGTGGCTACCCTGAGGGACTCCTGAAGTAACATCAATGACGTCAGAAATAGTATTTTTAAACAATACCCTTTGTGATCTATCATAGAGGTATGAAGAGATCCAACGTAGAAAATTAGGTGGAAGACCAAGAAGATCAAGTTTATAGATGAGCAACGAGTGGCACACTTTGTCAAATGCTTTACTGAAATCAGTATATATAACATCAACAGTTTTTCTCTCACTAAATGCTTTTGAGATATAGGATGTTAATTCAAGTAAATTTGTAGAAGTTGATTTGCCCTTGCAAAATCCATGTTGACTGTATGAAATGCTTGAAGTGATAGAATGCGTCAACCGATTTGTTATAATTGCTTCAAATAATTTAGGAATTGCAGAAAGCTTAGCTATGCCCCGGTAGTTCTCCACTGAATACCTGCTACCGCTTTTATGTAAGGGGGTTATGAACGATTCCTTCCATACAGTTGGAAATACGCCCTCTTTAAGAGACAAATTAAATAAGGCTGTTAACGGCTCATAGAGATAATCAGCACAATTTCTAAGAAAACAAGTGGGGATCTGGTCAGGACCATAACTAAAAGACTGCTTTAAGGACTTCAGGTAAACTTAAACATCATCGGGAGATATTATAGGGTTATGTATTGAGTTAATTGGACTTAGTTTAAAAGGATAGTCAAAGTATGCTTGGGAGTTAGTGGAATAATTGGATTTAAAAAACTGAGCGAACATGTTAGAAATTGTTTGATTATCACCAGAGACGGTATTTTGATACTTCATGGCGGAAGGAAACCCACGTACATTTCGCTTGGAGTTTACGAAATAATAAAATGATTTGGGGTTATATATTATACGTCGTTTGACTTTACACAAGTAATCTTTATAACACTTTTTGTTTAATTCAAAGAACTTGTGACGCAAAAGTGAGTATTTTACATAGTATGAGTGTAAGCCGGTTTTTTTGTGTAATCTAAAATAACGTGACTTTCTGTTTTTCAAGTTTCTCAGTTCTTTAGTGAACCATAACTGTGTTTGTTCTACAGGAACACACATGCGTTTAGGCACATACTTTTCAAATAATCTATGTACAGTAAAATTAAAATGTGCAACGCTTTGCTCAACTTTTTCTTTGTATATAGGCCACGACAATTTAGACAATTCTTTATTCAGTTTTTTAAAGTTGGCTTGCGAAAAATCAAAGCGAAATATTTGGCTCGTATGTTTGGACATCGCAATTTTGACCATCGTTTATAATTTCGTAAGATATCTCAATAGCAGGGTGGTAGACATCTTCGGGCAAAACTAGTGGGTCACATTTATTTACAGCCGACTTAGATGCATCATCAACATAAACAAGATCTAATATTTTGCCATGTTCCATGATACATTTGGTAAATTAAAGTCACCCAACACAATCAATGAATCAGAGGGTTTAATCATTAAATTAATTGATTTCAGTAAAGATACATGTTGTGAATACACTGATAAGTCAGATCCGGGGAGGAATATAGCATAGAGCTAAGTAAGTAAATCCCCTTCCAACCTGAACACGAATGCATTTGAATTCTGCAGATTCGATGTGTGGAAGACTAACTTCTTCAGATGGTATTGAAGAGTCTACGGCAAAGAGTACGCCACCGCCGACTCCTTCCTCCCGATCTTTTCTGTAGATATGATAATTATTTGAAAGAATCTCTGAATTAAAAGTGTGAGGTTTGAGCCAAGTTTCAGTCAAAGAAATTATATTATAATTGCATTCAAGGCCATTAAGATATAAATTCGTTAATTTAGTATTTATGCCTCTTACGTTTTGATAATAAATACTTAAAGCAGATTTAGTAATCAGTTTTTTGGTTCTGTATTCTGACGGGGAATATTTGCTAAATTATTATTTTTGTTGGGCCTATACTCAAATTCACGAACGAAAGCTCCGGAGGGCCAAAAAGAACTACTAAGCAGCATGTAAAAATTTTCTAAATTTACGTCTATTTTAAATGAAGAAATATTTCTTTCATATTTAAAATTAAATTTTCTGATACTTAAGTTGACAGTTTTAACTTTGGACGAGATGTAAAACTTTATATCGTCCTCGGAAGTATCCCTCGAAAATCTAGATACAAATATAGACTTCCTTGGGGGAACCACAACCAGTCTCCTAGTATCAGACTGGATTACCGGCGGACGGGGTTGAGTAACTGAGTTACTAGTTGAGGGTAGAGTGAGCGTCGGAAGATTGGATGGCGGTGCCACAACTTCAACGGGGGACGGGGAAGATACTGCAGGGTCGTTATTATTAGAAGCAGACTTTGATATGTGTTCTTTTGAGGAAGATAACTCCGTTGTCTGTGGACATGGAGAAGA